TGATGGATGGATGGATGGCACATGTGTCAGAAACCCCCTGTGCCCTGGGCTGATGCCCCCTTGTGGGCAGAAGGGGAGGGGGGATTCTGCCCTTCTGCCCTGCTCAGGTGAGACCCCACCTGCAGAGCTGCTTCCAGCCCTGGGGCCAACAGCAGAAGGACGTGGAGCTGCTGGAACAAGTCCAGAGAAGACCATGGAGCTGCTCCAGGGCTGGATCCCCTCTGCTGTGGCACCAGGCTGGGAGAGCTGGGGGTGTTCACCTGGAGAAGGCTCCAGGGAGACCTTAGAGCCCCTTCCAGAGTCTAAAAAGGCTCCAGGAGAGCTGGAGAGGGACTTGGACTGGGAGAAGTGCTCCCAGTCTGTGCTGCTGATCCAAGAAGTTTTGATCCATGAGGGCAAACACAATTGCAGAGAAGAGGAGCTGAGGAGCAGCTCCTCTGCCTCCCTATACACCTCCACAATCAAACACGTCCCTCACTGATCCCTCTGCCCTGCCAGCATTGCAGGGATTTGTCCATCAGATGCTTTTGCTCTGGGACAGGGAGAGGGGCTTTGGCCTGTGGCACAGGAGGTGCTTTGCCAGCTGAGCTCCTGGTGCAGCAGCACTTTGTGCAGCAGCCAGACCCACCTGGGCTGCCCCGTGCTCCAGCCCAGCAGCTGGAGGGCGATGCCTGCTCAAACCATCATCGCAGGCTCCTCCTGCACAGGAAGAAGGAGCATCTCTCGTGGACCCCCAGGGGAAATGGGGCAGAGGAGGTGGGATGGGGAGTGCTAGACACTGCAGCTGCCTCCAGGGGCAGATCTGAAGGCTTTGCTTCGACCTTAAAAGAGGCAGAGGATGAAGAGCACCACGGGGGAAGGAACCTTGTCCCTGGAAGACACCCCCAGAAGGGCTCAAGACTCTCAAAGCACCACAAAGTGGTCACTTGCGGCACTGCTGGAGAAAGTTTCAGAGCACGACAGATCTCATCAGCTGTGGAGCTGCTTTCTACTCCCTTGGCCCCTTTCATATCTGGCCGAAGTTCTTCTGAACATGCCCGTGGTCCTTGGAATCTGTCAGCTCCCTCCTTTAAATCCCAGGGTGTTTCATGTTCCCTCCAGGCTCCTCCAGCATTCCACCTGTCCCACGTGTTGTTCCATGTGCTCACCTGCTCCCCCAGTTCTGTGCAGGTCTCTCCTTGGTGAGGGCCATGCAGGACCTGTGGCCAAAGGCAGATGCTCAGTGAGAAGCAGAGGGGGCAGGGGTATCAGATACTTCCTAGAAGGGGCTTCTGACTCTCAGCAAGGAGCAGTTCCTGTTCCATGGCTGGAACAGACCCATCAATTCTTTTACAGTCATCAGTTCAGGCTGCTTTCGGAAGTGCTTTTGAAAATCCAGTGTCTTATTTGTGACTTTTCTGGTCCCTGAGAACTGGGGGAGTTTTACATGTGCAGTTGCCTCCCAGGGCTTAGCGTTTCCTCACAGAGCTCTATTGGAAGCTCTGGCTGGATGCATTCTGCTCATGGAAACCTCACAGTGCTGCTTTTGTCCCTCCTTCCGCAGTTCCTCACAGGCAGCCTTTGAGAGAAGATGAAAAGGGCTCTGTGCCAAGTGCAGGAGAAAATCCCTCTATTTACTCTGGGACAAGGGGACTAAATACGACATATTTACTTTTCTGAGTGCTTGTCTATACTCTCATCACCTGCTTGCTCTTGCGTTTCCTGCCCCAGATGTTTGAAGAAGGATTTGATATTTCATTGTGATGCTTTGTAATTTATTCCTCCAAGTTGACTCATTTTACTTTTCTTTTTACTCCCCAGAGAGCCCCAGGTGTGGGGTGAGGTGTTTGTGACTATCACCTTGCTTTGGCCACAGTTTCAGCTGGTTTGAAAACCTTCTGACTTCCAGAGCTTCCTTGGACATCTTGACTTCCCTCTGCTCATTCGCATTTCTCTCTTTGCTGTGACACCAAATGTCTCGGATATGGGAACCTGGAGAACACCTACTTGTATTTAATACTTCCAGCCCTTCACTGAAACTTTCCCCACCTCTCTGCAATTCTCAGCACAGCCAGGGCAGCACCTGGCTTTTGTTGCCTTAGCAGAAATTCAGTTTTTGCCTGGTGCTGTCCAATCCCTGAGTTCTCTCTCCTCCTTTGTGTTTCCTACCCATTTTCTTCACAACACAAGTACTGAGACATCTAAAAATTCTTCTGTGTGTGCTTCCCAATGTGACATTCCCACTCCAGTGCCATGTGTGCCCCTTCCGGGTGACACCCGTGCGAGTGAGATGCTGGAGCTGGCCTGCATGCACACTCTCTTTGTGCGGGAGCACAACCGCCTGGCTGGAAAGCTGAGGAGCCTCAATCCCCACTGGAATGATGAGAGGCTCTACCAGGAGGCACGAAAGATCCTGGGAGCCGTGATCCAGGTACAAGCCATGGTCCCACATGACTGCCTGCAGTCTCACAAGGTTCATGTGTTAGGCTGTGCTAGTGTGGAGTGGCCAAAGGGTGCAGGATTTTGGGGGGAAAGGACCAAATTCGTTCCACCAGTGTCTTTTGACCAAAGCAAAATCAGACCGAGATACCTGAAATAACAAGCACAGAGAGGTCCCCCATAATCTTTGATGACCCTCTACTTTTAAATTTACAAAGTGCTTGATGAGGTTTTAAATAGCACATTTTTGTTAGAGGAACAGACAGAAAAGTCAGAGGAAAAGCTTTTCTAACTGGTGTTTTGTACCTCATAAAAATGGTACTGAAAATCTGGATTAAAATTCCTCAGGTTGTGAATCTCCTCCTCAATGATTCCCTGCCATTGCAGGGGGTTGGAATGAGATGATCTTAAAGGTGCCTTCCAACCCAGCCACTCTGGGATTCTATGAAGAAGCCCCATGTGCTGGTGGGTGCAGCCAGTCATGCTGTCTCTCCTAGGGACTGGGCTGCACCCCAGACTTGACCCTGAATGAGATTCTGGGGTCACACAAACACCTCTGTGCTTGGGAGGGAACTCCCAAAGTCTCTTGTTCAGCCTCTAGATTGGAGCAGGAATGGTCTCAAAGTCAGGTGAGACTTTACAGCTGGCAGGAAAGGCTGGATCCTATGGGAGAAAGGGACATGGGGTTTCCAAAGGCACTGCACCTCCTTTGAAGCCTGTCTTCTGAGCTGGTCTAACAAAAAATAAAAAGCAGGAATATCAAAATGTTTATGTTTTATGCTCTCAATTTAAATATTATTGTATTGTTGGAAAAACATGTTGGGCAAGACAAACACTCAAAGGATTGTCCTAAAAAGCATCATTGTGTTTATATCAATGGTTTCATCTTCATGTGGTATTCAGACAATTAATTCATTTTCTCCTACTGACATAGAATTTGATTTTTTTTTTTTTTAATTATATGTTGCTGCCTCCTCAATATCCCAGAGGGACATGAGAGCAGGGTTGGAAATCTCTGCTGTGGGAGGACCCAGGGAGCTGCCTGTGGGTGGTGCTACCCCATTATCTGCCGATGTTATCTTTGCCATCTGAAGCACGAAGGGTGCAGTTCTGCCTGCCTGATGGGAACTGTGACAAGGAGCCAGTATTTGAGAGGATTTGGCAGGCTTTTATCTTCACAGAATCACAGAACCAATTTGATTGGAAAAGACCTCTGAGATCATTGAGTCCAACCTCTTATTATGCTGCTCTGAGCTGCCAGAGTGTTGTGGCAGACAGAACATGAAAAACAACTTTGTTTCCACAGAAACTGATGGCCAAGACATTAACAGTTCACCCTTTCCTCGTTTCCCCCTAGATCATAACCTACAGGGACTGGGATGCAGGTTCCACAGGCTCATTCCTCACTGTCGGGGCTACAGCGAGTCTGTGGATTCTCAGATATCCAATGTTTTCACCTTGGCTTTTTGCTTTGCTCACGCCTCAGTCCCTCCAACTGTTGGCCGCCTAGATGAATATTACAGACCCATAACTCCTGAAATTCAACTCAGAACCTCCTTCTTTGCTGTCTGGAGGATCATTCAAGAAGGTAAATCCTTTCCTGCAGCTCTGCAGTGTGGATTTATTTCATTCATCCTTTCCTGCCCTCTCTTGATGACCTCCTGCTTCAGCCAAATTCAAAAGCATTTTATGTTCAATGTATTAAATGGCCTTTACTACCAGCCAGAGTCAGCTCAACAGAGGGATAACCCTGTAGACAAGGGCAGCCAATCATGTTCCAAAATGATCTGATTGCTTAATTGCTGTGACCTCAACGTTATTCAAAGTATTTTCTTCTTAATTCTTTAAATGCAGGGAAATTTATTCTCATGTAGTAGAAGCTTATAATTACATATAAGCTGTGCTCACCTCTCTGTTGCCTCTTAGCCACACACCAGCCTCCCCACACTCCTCACACGTCCCTGCTTCAGGTGGAATTGATCACAGTTTCCCCGTGCCACCTCTGCAGGTGGGATTGATCCCTGTCTCGAGCCTCAGGGCCAGCCAGGCCAAGCTGATGATGCAGCAGCAGATGGTGGTGGGCGAGCTCCAGGACAGGCTCTTTGAGCAGCTTGAAAGGATTGGGTTTGATTTAGCTGCACTCAACACGCAGCGCAGCCGAGATCATGGCCTTCCAGGTAAGGCAGCTGTGGGAGCAGAGCTTACAGAGGAAAACAAGTGGAAATCAGGCATTTTTGCGATTAAACATTGAGAAGCTTCTCCAGCCCATGCCTGGCCGAAATTACTCAGGAGCTGGATTCAGTGATCCTTATGTGTCTCTCCCAATGCAGGATATTCAGTGATTCTGTGATGTTCTTTCCCAAACCTTTTCCTTGTTTCTGAACAGCCACAGGTAGGTGGGTGGAGGTTGAGCACTGAAGGCAAAGCCTGGCAGAAGCTGCATGAGAGACGTGGAGGCAGAAGAATGCAGGGCATTGCACAGACCAGAGTTTAGTATTCAGTGACTGACTTATTTCTGTTGTCCAAGTGAAAAAACTGGTAAAATAGTTCAGCAACAAGATTGCAGGAGTGGAATTAGACTGTAAGTCCCCTGTGATTTCTCTGCAGCCATCTGCAGTGGTCCAGCCCAGCCACACATGACTGGAAGAGCAGATTCCAGTATTTAAAGAAAATCTCATCATAATTTCTCTATTAAACCCGTGTCCCAGAGGAAAAAAATAACCAAGCATGTCAGAATCACCCTCAGGACTCAGGAAGGTGCAAAACCAGCGTAATGGTATTGCAAGATGGTCTTGAGAAATAGATTGTTGATTGCACTTCAGAGCTGGCTCCTGGGTGGGTCCTTGCCCAACAGTGTCATTAGGCTGAGCTAAGAGCCTGGAGCTGCTGTGTCAGCAGCATCCTGAGAGATGCAACAGGGCTCCTGTTTGAAACTGGGATGAAAACTGAGCTGGATCCATGGGTTTTAAGCCCAGTCAGAGGCTTTGCAGTACATCCAGATGCATCATCAGCTCAGAGGATTGCTCTGCCTTGGCCACAACAGAAGGCTGTGATTTTTCCATGCTTTATTGAGGGACACCATCATGCAGAACCTGATCAGAACCACAAATCCTGGGTTTCCAGACCTGACATGGTGGGAGTGACTTGTATTTCTAGAGAATTTGGGTTTAGCTTTAGGTTTCAACCCACCTATGAGTGCTGTACTACTTATATTAGACATCCATTAAGGTGGTGGTGATATAGCAAGGTCAAAACCCCTCCCTAATTAATTTTCTGATTAAGTAAATTCTCAGTATCCTGGAATTGTTTGATAGTGGTGTCATCCAGGCACCATATGTTGTGTCTTTTTCTCCCAATACTTCTGGAGAAAACTCTGTGGGCTCTCACAGCCATCTGGAGTGAAGTCACTTGGTCAAGTGTTGAGGAATCAGAACCTGGCAAGGAAGTTCCTGCAGCTCTATGGGACACCGAAGAACATTGACATCTGGATTGGGGCCCTTGCAGAGCCCTTTGTGAAAGGAGGCCGAGTTGGGCCTCTCATGGCTTGTCTCATTGGCACCCAGTTCAGGAACGTTCCTGATGGGGATAGGTAGGAGAGGAGATGGGTGTCCCAACCCCAAAGTACAGGGAGGCTGGAGTTTATGCAGATTTCTTCATGCATATCTAAAAACTATTCCAGTTGTTCTTTGCTTTTCTTTTCAGTACTCCTTCAAAAGTTTCTTTCTCTTTGAAGTGATGTTCTTACTCCATCTGATGGTTGAGATACTGGGCTGAGATCCCTTCCCAGCAAAGTGATATCTCACTAGTTCTTCTTCCCCAGTTCTGAACTGGAACCCTCTGCTCTGACGTGTGGCAGGGTTTGGTCTTTGCTTGTGATGGATGTGGTGGGTTGGGGTTTTCTTGTCACTCAAAATCACTTCAGCAGTGCTGAGGTTTCAATACACCTGAATTCCTCCTCCTCCTTGAGGTTGCTCAGGGACTTCAGGTGCAGCAGTGAGTTATGTTCCCCATTTTAAGCTGGACTTCGGAAGCAAGATCCCTGTACCAGCCAGCAAAATTGCCTGAAAATGGCAATTTTCAGGCAATACAACCTGAAACAACCCATGTTTCCATTAAACAGTTCTGCTGAGAAAGACTTATGACAAGCTCAAGCCCCTGGATGAGGAGCTTCAAGTCAGTCAGTCGCATGTCTAGAAATCCTGTTCTTATGACAGGAAATGAACTCTTTTCTACAAAATTGAGTAATTACAGGGCTTGCTCCAACATGGCAATCATTTGGCTGTAACCACAGCCTGTGCACAGTCTCTGCAGCCTTTCCTATTTGAAAGAGTGTACCTGTGCCTCATCTGAGGACAGTTAATTCAATTGCAGCTTTGTTACCTGCTCATGGCCAAAAGAAAAGCAAGATAATTATCCAGCTGGTGAGTCAGGGCTCTGATTTAAAGAACAGAAATTCAAATTTGTTCTTGGAAGAAGAAATTAGTGTAAATGGGAATTAATATTGTGGGAATCATCAATGTGAATAAGGCAAAAATCTGTTGTGTCTTCTTTCTCCTGCAGGTTTTGGTGGCAGAGCCCTGGGGTTTTCACTCCTCGCCAGCGCCTTTCACTGGCCAAAATCTCCTTGTCACGAATAATATGTGACAATACCCACATCACTAAAGTATCAAGGAATATCTTTTGGGCTAACACATACCCCCGTGGCTTTGTGAGCTGCAGTCCGATCCCAAAGCTGGACCTGAGACCCTGGAAGTCAAAGAGCACTGAGGAGTAAGGTATGATCAGCAAACAGCAGCGGGTCCTGCCTGCAGACCCCTGAGAAAGCCAGACCTTGGGGTTTAAAACTGAGCTGCCTAACATGTGGCTGGACCTGTGTGCCAGGTACAGCTTTAGGTGCTCCAGTTTACTGGGTATACTTGGAGTGGCTCCTACAAAATGCAGATTTTCTGGCAGACCAAGCCAAGTGCCCTATTCTGGGAATTTTTTCTAATGAGGGAAAGCTGAGGGAGCTGGGGCTGTTCAGCCTGGAGAGGAGCCCCAGCTGAGAGGGGCCTCAGCCCTGGCTGTCCCTGTGTGCAGGGAGGGCTCCCAGCAGAGCCCGGGCTCTGCTCAGGGGCCCAGCAGTGGCACCAGAGCCACGGGCAGGGACCGAGCCCAGCAATTCCCCCTGCACAGGAGGCACAACTCGTGCCCTGGGCACTGCCCAGCCCTGCCCAGGCTGCCCAGGGAGGGGCTGGAGTCTCCCTGAGCGGGGATATTCCCGAGCCCTCTGGACACGATGCGGTGCCCTGTGCTCTGGGCTGGAGCAGGGAGGTGGCACCAGTGACGCTCTGTGTCCCCGCCAGCCTGAACCTTTCTGGAATTCTGGAATTTTTTTCTGATTAATAAACTTTCCATTTAGCTCTTTGCTGTCGATGCCAGGGTTTTCTTCATGGGAAACAATGCCCAGAATGGGAAGGCTGATGTCTGTTGAGATGCTGTTTGTCAGCACATCCTTGTAAGGCCAAAAGCAGCTCAGCATTTGAAAATGAATTCCTAGTCTGTGGGAAGATTTCTGGTTTTGATCTCTGCTTGTACAGGTTTTGCCTGTTTTTACACTATTTCTCTCTCCTGCCTTCAGGATTTGTAAAATTCTTGAGGTCTAATTCCTGCCAAAATGCTCCCTGAAATCCCTGGGAAGCAGATGTAGAATGGCTCTCCCTGGAGAAGGGCAGGATGTTCCAGTGCCTTTTCCAAACAAAACATCCTTCCTTTCCTCTGACAGTCAGGTCCTGTCACGCTTATAATTCCAGGTTTTGATCCCTCCTTTTCTGCCTAACCTGTGGAAACAAACCACACAAGGTATCAGGGAGCTATGGCAGGTTCTTTTCTGTTAACACAATGCTTTTTATCTCCTCTAGAAAAAGATTCTGGTGACTTTAAATGCTGAATGTTGATGACTTCCCAGATGTCCAGACTTGGGAAGCTGCTGAGGTTGATTATTAATTTTTTCTGTGTTTATGCTTTTACTGCCTGCAATGTCTGAGCATAGTTCTGTCATTTTTTCAGCTTGATTTGCATGAAGCCTTTACAGTGGGATGGAGCCCAGGAGTAAAAGAACTTCATGAAGAGATATCCCAGATCCATAAAATCACTCAGTATCACAAAGCCAAGTGAAATGAGTTGTCCGGAGGCTGATCCCAAATCACACCAACTGCTGGCTTAGGCCATGGAACCACATAATAATCCTTCACCAAGATTTAGTGTCAAGCACATGTTTTGGACCTTCCTTTTAAATTTTTCAACCCCCACAGAATTATCCAGGGCATTGGAATAGGTAGTTGATTTTAGCTCTCCAATTTTTTTGTTTGAAAGAAATAAATCCTTCGATTTCCAGAGAAAATATACTAATGACAGGATTCCTCCGAGAGAATAAGAAATAGTTGTCCTGCACCCCAAACATACTGTCCTAAAATGCCCTGTGTCAGATTTTGCTCCAGTATGGAAGGAAGAAATGTGCCACATGGATGAGAGTTTTCTCACTGTTATTTCCCATAGTCCAGAATGCCCAAAACATCCTCTGTTCTGTTCTGTACCAGAAACCTGTGACAAGTTATTCCTGAAGCCTGGCATGAGCCAGTGACTCAGCACTGGCCTGTAGGGCTGGTGGCATGTGGCCTGGAAAAGATCAGAACAATCTCAACATATAAGATAGTAAAAGCTATTCTGGTTTCAATCCAGCTTTTTTCATTTTATTGAAAGTTATCAAACCCACTTTCTCCTCCCTCTGTAGCCTGCTATATTCCTGTTATTGCTTAATAAATTGCAATTTTGGGCTGAGGCCAAGATGTTCTTTGCATTTCATAAGAGGTGCAGCAACCACACATGAGTGCAGGAGGGTGGTAGGCTTTCTGTGGGAATATTGGGAAAAGGCAGTTCCAGAAGCTTTGTGTTGTTAATGAAAGAAAGTATTTCTTGTTGAAGCTTCTGACCCCAACTCCTGTGTGATACAGAAGGTCAGCACTGATGGGTGGGAGGAATTGATTGGGGTGTCCCAGCCTCTCCAGCTCTGGTTTGCTACTCCTGGTTGTGTATGGTGACCTAGTCCCGTGTCTGTTCAGCCCCTTGGGGAAAGAGTATTACCTGTTGGCTTCATCAGTTCCCCTCTGAGAGAGGATCTGACTGGCTCAAAATCACCCACAACCCCTCTATGTGCACTGAGCACAGACAGCTGATTTTCTCTTTTTAGCCAAGCTGAAATTTGGACAATTTTATTTACTTTATCAACTTGATCAAACCTATGCAATGCTGGTACAGCAACATGGGGACTGTCTATAGGGTTCCTGGCATGTGCCTGCCTTGGCCAGTGGAGCTCCTGAGGTGGAGGGTGCCTCCTTTGGGAGCTAGGATGGGATGGTTTGCCCTGATCAGCTTCTGCTGCTGGTTTCAGAAGGGCAGCTCTCCCTTCCCAGCTCTCTTGAGTCCTCTCATTCACTTTCCCAGCAGCCTTCCCCAGCTGTTTCAGCTCAGACCTGGATGTCCATCCCGAGTTCATCCTGTCAGGTCCTTCTCCCAGTGCCAATTCCTTTTTTCCTCAGTGGATGCCCACCAAGGTGGTCAGTGGGCTGCAGCACACGGAGTGCAAAGACAGGAGGGAGCTGGATCTGCTTAGTCTGGAGAATGGGAGGGGGAGTTATTTCAGTCTCTCTAAGGTGTAGCTATGAAGGTGGACACTTCCCAGAGGCTCACAGGGAAAGGACAAGAGGTAACAGATGCAGGTTGCAGCAAGGGAAGTAACCTTTAGACAAAGACAAACATTATTCCCTGTGATAGTGGTGTGATGCAGACACAGGGATGAGAGAAATCTTGAGATCTCCAGCCTTGGGTATTCTCCTAAACTGTCTTGAGCAAGCTCTCTGCACTTTCAGTTAACCCTGCTCTTAGTAGCTGGTTGGCCTGCAAACTTCCTGGTGTCCTTTCCCAGTTCAATTTTCCCTGATTTTCAGTGATAAATTGTTCTACTTCCTAGTCAGAGTTCACCTGGCCGGGTTCTAAGCTATCCCACGTATGCGAGTCCTTCAGCCCAGGCTGTTCCATGCTGTTGCATTCTTTTCTGTCAGGCCTGTCTTGGTGCCACAAAAATCTTCATGAGCCAGAACACTTTTTCTTGTAAAACCTCTTCTCTTGTCATTATAAGCACTTCCAGCCATGCTTTTGTTCATAAATTAGTCTCCAAAGTGAATCTGTGCCTTGTTGTGGGAGGATGGATAGAGCTAGTGCTGCAGGCAATCTTGCCCCTGATAAAATTGCAGCTGTGCCAGTTACCAAAGAGTGGAACAGCCTTGCCTTCACAGCTGTATCCAATAAGGATGTGAGTTACAAAGGAGTGGGTTAGCAGTAATGATAAAGTTCCTTTTCATGCAGTTGTTTTAGGAGATGAAACGCAGTTGGAGCAGTCCCAGGTTACACCTGCATTTTCCTGATTTACGTCAGCTTATGCTGACGCTGTCTGAACGTGCAGCTGCCTCTGGCCAGGAAAACTTAGGGAGTTGTTGCTCTTGTTTTATCTTTTTGTCTCGACTTGTGGTACTTTTCCTTCTGTGCATGGGGAATGTCCAGCTGTTCAGCTTGGTCCCTCCAGTGCCTGGATGTGTAGGACAGGGTCTGGCCGCTCAGATTGCTCTTTTTCTTTCTCCCTTCCAAAATACTGATTTTGGATTCCCTGGACATCTTGCAGCCAGCTCGTTTGGTGAAGATCAACGTTTGCACAAAGTGGGACATCCTGGGGTCATAGAATCATGGAATGGTTTGGACTAGAGTGGACTTCAATATCATCTAGTTCCACCTCTGCCATGGTCAGGGACACCTTCCACTATCCCAGGTTGTTCCAAGCCCACCCTGGTCTTGGACACTTCCAGAGATGAGGCAGCCACATCCTCTCTGGGCAGGGCTTGTGCTGTCTGATACATCCTGCTCCTCCCCACTGAAGATTTTCTTAAAGTTCCTCAGGGTTCCTATTCCCAGAACCCCCTGAAGGGGCTCTCCAAGCACTGCCAGCCCCACAGCCCCTGCACACAGACAGCTTTGCTGCTGTGTTTGCCCTGTTGCCGTCCAGCCCTCCTGGAGCTCTCCCAGCACCGTTGCTAAACCAGCTTCCCACAGTGGGTGCAGCTCCCAGCAGAGAGCACAGCCTGGCTGAAGCCTCACTCCCAAACCTTGTTCCAGCTTTGCACCACCCACACGTAGCTGATGGAGGGAGTTTCACCTTTGGTCTACATCACCAGCTGCTCTGACTCCTTCACTGCTCTGCTCCACACGCTCTGGGCTGGAAGGATGGAGTTTTTCCTTCTTCAGTACCTGTTTATCTCTGTGCTCATTACCTTTATAGTTCTCTACCAGGTGAAACCTGCATTCAGATTCTTCTGCAAGATGACCTTCTATAAGTTGTGGCTGTTCACCATAAGCATTGGGGTTGTCATCCTCAGTGTTCCTCGTGGACGTAACGTGGACAACATGATGTAAGTTGTCTGTGGCTTCTTTCTGCCCTGAGCATTGATAGAGTCCACTCTATCCAGTGCTTTGATTTGAAGGGTCCTGGGAGTGTGGTGTGGTGGGGAGGGATCGGTTCTATATTGGTGTGGGGAGATGACAGACTCTGTAATTCAGAGAAGGGGTGTGGGTTTTGATACTGGTTTGCAGTTGATAAAAAGAATAACAAATTATGTAAAGAAATTATGTAAAAGGTGACATAGATTTGCCAAAGCAGGAAGTGCCAACAACCTGGATGTAATGCAT